TGTGTGTGTGTGTGTGTGTGTGTGTGTGTGTGTGTGTGTGTGTGTGTATAGATGCATTTAGAACATAAGGATTCCATTTTCCATTAAGCTTTTGGCCACTGAATGTTTTGATTGGAATAGAGCACTATCTACTCTCAGATGAGAATGGAAGAATGTTAAGAATGAAGGCAAAGAATGTTAGTTATATTAATTTGCCTGGTATTTTTAATAGAATTTGATATCCTTTAGGATTACCTTTCAGATTTTGAATCAGAGGATCACTTTTTTGGTCCTTTTTGTCAACTAATATTCAAAATCTGATTCTGAAGACTAATCATTATTAGCAGAGCCTTTGATCTGTAGTGTCCCACAGATCTCCTTAGACCAGTGGTCATCAACCAGTGGTCATGGCCCACTGGTGGTCCACGAGAAAATTTTGGTGGTCCACAAGAAATGTCACCCCCAGAGCACCCCCCCCCCAAAGCAATTAATCCAGGCTGTGCGAGAACACAAGGCTGTGCTGCCCACATGGCCCACGGTAACCCAAGGCTTGCGTCGCTTGCATTAGGAACAACACAAGGTAGTGAGGGGAAAGGGCAGAGAGGGAAACTTGCCTGGCCACCAGGTTGCTTCTTCTGCTTCTTTTGCTTTTGGCTGCACATAAAGAAAGCAGCAAAAGTCTTTCTCTCCCCCAAACTCTGCCAGAAATGTGTCTTTGGGACCCTGAAAGGCATCCTGCTTCAAGAGGCTGTGCCGGCAAAGACTCATTTCTGGCAGAGTTTGGGGAAGAGAAAGAAAGACTTCTGCTGCTTCTGCTTCTTTCCTTGCGTGAAGTCTGAGAACAGAGCTCAAAAGCAGGCTAGGAATGTGGCTGCCTTGGAGGGTGTGTGCGTGTGTGTGTGTGTGTGTGTGTGAGAGAGAGAGAGAGAGAGAGAGAAAACATCACTAGCCCTCCAAGGTTAGATCAGATCTCTCTCTCTCTCTCTCTCTCTCTCTCTCTCTCTCTCCCTCTCCCTCTCCCTCTCCCTCTCCCTCTCCCTCTCTCCCTCCCACCAACGTCAGCAAGCCACGTCAGTCAAAATTCACGCGATCCCCGGGATTTAAAATAATGAGTTTGGTGGTCCCTGAGGTCCAAAAGATTGGCGACCCCTGCCTTAGACCCACTATTAAGAGATCTTTCAGAAATAGGTGTCATCAACATTATATGATGTATTTCTCTATTTCTTTTTGTTTTCTAGTCCCAAGAAAATGATCTATTGATCAATTTGATAATTTACTAAGTGAAAAAATAGAAACTGTATTCAGATGGGAAAGAAGTGTTTTTATCAGTAACAAACATCTGGCTTAGATTCTTGAATTCAGACTCTAAATGGTCAGTTTTATAAGTTGTATATGCTCCTTGTTTCTTTACTGTTCAAAGATCTTTAGCTGAATATGCAGAATTCTTGTACCTTGGATTGGTTGGATTAAGTAGTAATGTAATGTCAGAGTTCCAGCAAAACCAAACTCCAATCAAAAACTCTGAGACAGGCATTTTCTAAAAGTTCTACTTTATTAGAGTATTGACATATATATTGACACGTCTGGGAAAACCTGAATTTGACAGTTCCGGGCTTTCCCTCAGTAATTCAAAAAGCCAAATTCACACTCCGCATCCATCAGTTCATCATATGGTCCAATCACCATCTGCCCCAACTCAAGATACCCCTTAAACCACTCCTCATCCAGGTGCAGGAAGACCATGACCTTGACCAAAAAGAAGGATGCTATTACATACGCTCCATGAAATCCCCCCTCCCAATTTCCCAGGCACAGGAATGTGGCAGCATGGAAGCTTCTGCTGTTAA